CTTGTTCACCCAGTGGTAGGCTACCACTCTTCCTCTGCCTCTAGCCTCCCCTTTTGGCTGCTGACAGTAGCATAAACCACTAGCTCACTCCTAGGAGCACCTTCTAATCTACAAGCGAAGAGATGGTGAAGAGATAGTGTTGTGGCCACCAAAGTCCAAGAAAAAAACAATTTACCTACAGAGGAAAGCTTTGATTTATATGTGAACTTGGAGCAACTGATAAGCTTATGTGATAAAATCTGTAAATTCCCCAATCATATCTACAAAGAAAATGTCCAGGTCTCTCCTGAAAAGTCCTATAGAATTAAGAATGTAAATAGATTCTAATGGTATGCTGTTAAAACCTGAGTGCATTCATATGTGGGGGCTACAATTCTGTAGAGGAAGGAACGAAGGAAGTAGGAAGGGAGGAAGAAAGGGGGGAAGGAGGAAGAAAGGAAAAAAAAAAACAAGTTTCTGGCAGAGCAGTAGTTCTCAATCATGGGTGTATAGTGAAATCTCCTGGATGATAAGTATCAGTGCTCAAGCCCACTTTTAGTGATGTTAAAATCCCCAGCGATTCTATGTGCAATCAGGTTTGAGAGTCAATGTTAGATAGCATCATATTTTATTAAATAGTGACTCAAAAATATTCAATTACTCAATGAGAGCGGCAACTTGGAAGGATTTTAGTAGTTAGGAATTGCTACAAAAAAGCCCACCATCTTCTTATTACAGAGGTCTAGAGATCCAAAGACTCCCTGAGAATTCTCTTTATCCTTGGGGTAAGTACCACCATGTCCTTGAGTCCCAAATCCCACTTCTCTGAGGGCTTCACAGTAGCCCTGTGCCATGTAATTCTCCTTATCTCTCACCCTTCTGAAATTATTACCAGATCAATGCTTCAGGCTCGGTACTGTCATACCTCTTTTCCTGATAATAAGATAGACTCTGGGGCTTTTAGTATCCATAGATCATTCCCACAACTCTTATTAGTTAAAGGTTCATTCATTCACTACATCAAAACTTTTATAACTGCTGGCCAGTTGAAATATACCTGGGGCAGAGTGATGAATTAGAAAGAGCACTTCACTGAGAAACCGAAGGCCTTGAATCATTTCAGATTTACCCATGCCTCTCCAGATGACCTGAAGCAAGTCACACACAACCTTCTGAGCTTTCATTTCCTTAAATGCAAAATGAGAAAGTTGATTAATGAATAATACCCACTGCAATTCTCAAATGTTATAGTGCATATTATGTTCTTATCTACTTTCTGGTAATGATGTAATAAATAGTTAAGGGTGGGAAAGTAAGTACAGAGAAGCACAAGAAAAAAGCTAATGGTCCAGATGAGCCATTGGCAAAAAGTTGACAAATATGTTCTCAAAGCATTGATAGTATCTTTATAAATTGCCTTCTTAAAAGACTACAGTGAAATCATATGGTAGTGAAATTTTGTAGGCTCCCCTTTCTGCTACTTGTCTATATGAAAAGGCGATTTTCACTCCCTTCACACTTCGAAAACCACCCTTGCAAAATGAAAAGGCAATGATCTGATTTTCTAGTTGTTAATTACCTCTAAGAGAGAAAGTGATGATGTTTTAAAAAAAAAAAAATCCTCTAATATGCCAGGAATATTTTAAAATATTCCAACCCCAAGTTCAGTTCACCGTTCCTTTATAATAGCTCTTGCACCCATGTCTCTCCATTCTTTTTCTCCAACTACTATGACTGTCTCCTCAAGCAACCTCCTCCTCAAGATCATCCTTCATGTTAGCTCTGCATATATCTTTATGCCCCTTTATGTATGACTTTTCTACTCCAAAAAAGTTTTACGAATTCTTATTTCCTGCAGACTCAACTAAACTGTTTAACTTGTCATCCCCAGATCTCCACAGTCCAGCCCATAACCTACCTTTTCTTTCACTTTTTCCTCAACACGTTTCCTCCAGCCAGTGTGGCCTAATGATATGCTGTTAAAACCTGAGTGCATTCTATTTATTTTCCATCCTTCAGTTATGTCATAGGAAGTCCCTCTCTATGCCTTCGCTCATGCTGTTCCTCCCACATGGAGTGGCTTTTCCCATTTTCTCTCACACATTTGTTGCATGTTTCCTGGTTAGACTATGTGTTCTCAATGACAGACTCAATGTATTAAATGCTTCCATCTATCCTTCTGCCTATCTTTCTCCCTTCCTTCCTCCTTCCTTCTCTCTCTCCATCCTTTCCTTCCACTTTCCCATAGTATGTACAGTAATATTTGGGGAATACAGTGAATTATCGATAGTCACCTTATAAATACAGTAATACCAGACTTTCGTCAATGGAGTCCTTGGGGCTTCTCTCTAATACAGCCTGACCAATGGGACACACAAGTTCTCTTGTGTAGCTTAGCTTTTAGCTTGGAATCCAATGCCCTTCGGCATGTTCCTTTGTGAGAATACTTAGTATTACGAGGACATACATCCAAATTTAGGTTTCACTTTAAAATTTTATGTGTAAGTGTCCCAAAAGCACAGAAATGGTCTAAGAATTATGAAAAAAAATAATCATTCCAGTCATTAAATCACTTAATTATTTCAATAGTGTGTTAAGTCATGCACTCCTCATTTAGAGAGTTAGTAATAATAGAATTGGAAGCTACTAAATCAAGGATGGACTGCACCTTCTGGTTTCACAGTTGAGTCAGCAGAGGCTCAGACAGACAGGACACTGAGTCTAAATGAGGTATTGCCTCTTACGAAGCTGGTGCCCTCCTTCCTCTCCTAGCAGCACCTCTCCAAAAAGGGGATCCTTTCTGTCTGCCAAACCCTTTCCCATTAAGTCCTTCTCGTTTCCCAAAGATTGTCTGTAAATAAAATGCAGCCCTATCCAGGGACTTAAAGTTGGACAAGAAGATCAACCCATAGAGATCTCTTCCAATTTTCGAAATTCTTATTTATTCTTCTAGGATAGAATAACTTTCCAGAAGTGGGTTCTAAGCATTGGTAAAGAGATTTTTGTGGAGGTGAGGGGTGGCCATATAGGGTGAGTTATAGATTTAGATATGCAAATAGTGATATTTTTTTTTTTAAGTCTGTTACAAGGAATAGGAAGAATCTGAGGACAAGCAGAAGTGGGATAGAGCTGGTGCATCTTTTGCCATAGGGCGGTAGACTCTCCCAGTCAGGCTTGGCAAGGGGTTAGGAAAGATACATGGCCCCGGCTTGCCTCTCTCCATACAGAGAATGAAATTGTATTAGAGAGATACTCCATCTGTAGCCTCAGGAACAACACCTCTCAGAGTCAGGATGGGGTCCCAGAACACTCTGAAAAGTTTCCCTCCCTAAATCCACAATCTTGGCACACCCAATGAAAGAAAGGTGGAACTTTGCCCTATTCGTCAATCCTCTTGCTCTTGAGACCTAGGACCAAGATGCTCTGCTTCAAACTTGGTCCTGGACCACTTACAAACTCCACCTTCATTTCTATTTGGGGCTGGGGGTAGAGGAGGAGAAAAAACAAAACAAAACGTGTTTTTCCCCCCTGAAATTACAAACCAAGCTTTATTTTGGGTTGTGTTTTATTTTTTAAAGGCTGAAAATCAATCGCAATTTTACTCCCTTGCCTCAACTTGTTTTTCTTCTGTAAATGAGAGCTTTGCAGTTCTAGACGTAGAAAATAGCTTTGCATTGTGTATTCTGTTGAAACAGCTGGCTAGAGACTCACTCTGGAGAAGTGACTTTTCCTCTCTGGACCTTAGCTTTCTCATCTGCTCAATAAAGGGGTTGATGAATGATGTCTAAATTCTCATCCACAGTAAACGTTGTGGGTGTCGGCAAGCCCCATTGCCCTTTGACTTTCCCTGTCGAGTGCCCAGCACAGAGACAATTAAAAGTTAAGGGTTTTTTCGAAGGAGAGTTGTTAACACCGGGGTGAGGATAACCGGCAGCAGGTTTGCTATCTTGCCGGGCCTCGAAAATGCCCGTCTTCAAGATTTCGCGAGTGGCAGGTTGCCGCGGGGTCTCCTCCCTTTATTCCTCTCCTCCCGCGCCCGGGCACAAGCTCCCCACAGCGCAGCTCTCTGTGTCTCCGGGACACCCAGCTGTCTATACAATCCCCAACCTGAAGTAAGCCAGGACGCTACACCTAGGCTCGGTTTCTCACAGCCAGCCTCTACCCCTCCGCGAGGTCCCTCTCTGTTCCACTATTTCCCACTTCGGAAATCCTTCCAGCCGCGCCAGCCGCACTTTGCACCCCGTGCTTCGGGCTCTTCGACCTAGGGCTGCCGAGGAGCAGGGAGCTCTCTCGGGATGTCCCAGGCTCCAGCCCCAACCTCCGTGCCCTAGCCTTTCCTATTCGCAGCCCCCCACGCCCCGCCCAAGGACCTTGCCGTCGCCTCCCCCCGCCGCCTCCAACTCCCTGGGTGCTCTCCCAGCGCACTCCTTCCCGCATCTACGCAGGGAGACCTCGTTCCCACCTCCTCAGCAAAACGAGAGCGGGTCAGCAGGCAGGGCGCCTGGCCCAGCGGAGATTCCCGGACCGGCCCTCTGCTGGGCGGGGGCGGACGAGGCACCTGGCCTCAAGGCATTCCGGGACGCGCTCAGCTGTGACCCGCAGCCTCACGGCGGGGCCGGATCGCTAAGCAGCCTTGTGCGGGGAACACGGTACCAAAGCGCCGGATCCGCCGCCTCCAGCCGCCTGGCGCCGGGGCGCTCATCCAGACCCCTGGACGCCGGAGTACTGGTCGAAGCTCGAGCCCAGCGTAGCGTGCGGGAGCTCGAACAGCCCCACAAGCTCCTTTCCGGCACCCTCTAAGGAGGGGGGCGCTGGGGCCCAAGAGGCACCGCCCGCCCTCCCCTTTTATCTGCCCACCCACCCGGCCCGCGCCGCGAGGTACGGCGCGGCACTGCGCTCGGATTCCGGGAGTGAAGAGCCGTGCTGTGTCCCTGGCGTCCTCAGTCCTGTCCCCCGAAGTGGAGATGCGCGAGAGGCAGGCGAGGGCGCGCAGCTCGTGAGACGCCGCGCCAGCCGGCACCATGCGCCTGCGGCCGCTGCCCCTCGTCGTGGTCCCCGGCTTGCTGCAGCTGGTGAGTGCTTGTTCCGCTGCGCGCTCCGCGCTCTGGGGACGCCTTTCGGCGGGAAAATCGCGCTGGTGGCAGATTCGGAAGCGGAGCCTGGGGCTGCTTGGGACGTGGGTATGGGGGCGCGCGGAGTGTAGAGAGTTTGGGGTGGCCCTATGGGTCGGAGGGGAAGATTAGGGAAATAGAATAGAGGGCGCCCGGAGGCAAATGAGGGGCTTAGCGAGGGTTGGGACTTGAGGGTTGGGGTAAAGTAGGCAGAAAGTGGCCGAAAAGAAGGTTCAAGAGAAAGAAGAGGTTTATTGAGAAGCGTCCAGGAGCGGATGAGAGTACAGAATATGATGAGGATGGGCTGAAAGACCTGCCTCCAGCCCAGAGTTTGAGAGGCTTGGTGATTTTTCACGTGTTTTGCCCGGATGCCCGCAGACACACTTCTTCCAAACCACCGCATCGTGCATCTTTGTTCGCAGGGCCAGTTAGTGCGCCTTGCTGCGGGGTAAAACTCAGGTAAAAGACCGATCGGGGGCGGGGGAGGCGGGGCAGTCAGGATTTCTCTTCCTTTTCTATATGGCGCTGGGGACTGAGCTGGGGTTTTCTGCTGGCAGGGACGCAGGAGGTAACTTTCCACTCAACTCCACGCAAGAGCCCTCTTTCGGGCATCTCTAAGCAGTATGTTCTGGAAGACCTCTCCATCCTGGTCTGGGCAGCTCAGGGGTCGCTGAGGAATAGGAAGGGTGTTAGAACGTGATCCAGGGTTCTCCAGAGAAGCTCTAGGCGACTGTTCGCATTGTGACTCTCATTTCTCCTTGCGTTTCCCGCGTGGCGCCCTGCTCTCCTTAGGAAATATGCCTATATACTTACTGTATGTATTGCTAGTTAATTACATTTTTAGGAAGAGTCCCAAGTAAGATCTTGAGAACACAACTTTTAAAATTATAGAAGGGGACAACTTTGGCTCAATGTGCCTCTGTGATGGGTTTCTCCTGCTCTATTGGCACTCGGTCTTGATAGGGTGCTGTTAAGTGGGCTTTCTCCAGGTGCCCTGATTTCTTTGGCCCTCACACTGAAGACCACCCAGTTAGCTCTGGTCTGTTAAAACAAGATTAAGGAACCCAAACACTTAGAGAATGATGATCTCTCCCTTTTTTTTTTTTTTCCTTCCTTCCTTCTCCTTTCTTTCTATTATTTTCCTTTAGAGGGAAAGATCAAGCAACTTATGAAACTTTTTCTATCATATGTGTGCTATTGTAAAGGCAGCGATACTTTGCAAGTTTTGAAGATGGAAGGCATTCTAAAAGGTCTTAGAGAAGGGAAGAGGTAGTGGCAAGGAAGAGCCTGTTCATTCTTGTTACAACAGAGATTAGCTTCACCTGCTCAGCATTTACTAAGGACTTCTTCAGAGGCATCAAGAAGGAAATGCAGTGATGTTCCCAAGTGCCTTTGAATGAGTGAGCACATGCTGGCTATATGTAACAATGCATGTTAAAATAAAATTTACATCTGAGTAAGGCATTATGCAAGCAACATATATGCCACATTAGTCTTTAGTATCACTTGCTTTTTGAAATGTTTAATTTGGATTCCAATAAGATGTGATCTAAAAAAGCAGTATTTATATGGTGAGTGTAAATAAAACTCTAAAAATCTGAGGAAATCAGGTGCTTAGGTAGGATCTCCAGAATATATTCATGAATATCTTAGTTCATTAATTTAATTTTGCATTCAACGATCATGAACCTTGCATCTATTCCACTATGTTAAACTCTTAAAGATTAGATATATTTTGCGGCATATGTTTGGGAAAAAGTTCTCCTATCAGATACTATATTGCAGATGTTAGATTTTTTTTTTTTTCACACCACCATAGTCAATAGGGAATAGGAAATACATCATGAAGCTATTACATACCCTCCTTAGGAGCTAGATTCTAATATTACAGCACAAATTGATTGATTAGTTTTTAAGAAAGCTTATGTCAAATTCTAATCCGTTTTTGGATTGTGCTTGGGTTGTAATGTTGGGATTTTTTGTTGCTGTTGTTTTTTTTTCCTGGAGCACTTTATCATGGTAAGTGAGGTGGGGAGCTGCAGCTGTGTGATAAGCACACATTCTTTACACTGCCATCCTTTTGGACAATAAAAGGCTGTTTACATTCTCCACATTCTTAGAGCTGTTGCCAGCCTTATAGCACAAGGGGTTAGGATCTGAAAGGAAAAAAAAGAGTGGCCAGGCAGAGTAGATCTAAATTAAAACATACCCCAATCTGACCACATGCCCCACCCCAGCAGGTATCAAAAAGGACAGATCATAATTTGGTCCTTCAGATAGCTTATAGTTTTATTCTACCTTTTTCAGCTCTTATTGAGCTTCTTTGTTAAATCCCAACAGCAAGTGGATAAAATGTTTTCTAGATTTGAAAACTAGTCTTTTAATTTTCTAGGAACCATATCTACTTATAGATCTGTCCTGGAGGGGCGGAGGAGGGACGAGATTGGGTTATTATTGGAACCGGATCTTACTTTTCCATCCGCACTCCCCCAACCTGAAGAATATACTTTTAAAAACGTTAAATATTTTTAATGAGTAGTGGATTCATTTGGGGATATTGAAAATTTAATTTTAAGAAAATTGCCTGTTTTATTTGAAAGCAGTCGCAAGGAGTTGGGCCCAAATAAGTCACTAACTCCATAATACTGGTACAATAACTATAATGTTTTTACTTATCTTTGTGATATTTAAAAATTTTAAGAAAACAATAAACTGAATTGATGAATATTGAAGGTAGCCTAAAAAGTATGTGTGTATGTTACCTGTTTTTGCCCAATTTTCCTGGCCTGTGTCCAGTCTTTTAATAGACAGGTTGCTATACCTAATTAATAGGATTACTAGGTACTTGCAAAATTTAAATATCAATCCTAAATGTATTATTTTCCTTGCAATTTTTATTCAGCAACATATTCTTTATAAAAATATTAACAGCACATTATTCTTTTTCTGCCACTTAATGAAGAGAAAATTAGCATTTGAAATTAATATTATAATAAATGGAATGTTATTTCATGATATGATCCAAGGTAAAGACATCACTAGTTGACAACTTCTTACGGATTTGCATGATAATTTGTAACTCATAATAAGTGTGATTTTTTGCCTTTAAGTAAAATGCAGATTATAAAAGGATTAAATTTGAATTTAAATGGATGATTATCTTGAGTTTAAGATAAAATTTAGCTATGACTTTTTAAATAAGTTATACATTTCAACTTATTTTTCTGTGATATAATGATGAGTTTATAAAGTAAAATATAAATTAAAAGTAATGTAAGTTAGCAAATTTTTAGAATCCTATAAAATCAGAATACTTGTGATGTAAGGTGTTACAGTTTTAAGTTCATTCTCATAATATAGCATTGTCTTACATGAACTTATTAAGATTTTTATCTTAAATTAATTTTAATATTTGTTTAGTATAATATTTATAACATTTATTACCAGTTCCGCTTTTACTCATGACTGTCTTTCATTCAAAAATCGCAATTTCCCTCATACAGTTTTGATCAATAAACATCAAATCAGTATTTCCCAGTGTTGGATCAATAATCGTCTGTTGGCGAGATGACAATGCAGAGGAGAAAAACACCATATCATGGTTACAATTTAGAGTTGGCTGGGCTTTAAAATTAACTCCTCCTTAAAAGCATCATTATCTTAGACATTTTTAAATGAGAATTAGGATTAGAAAATTAAATTCTCTTTTCTAGCAACTCACCTCCCACTATAAATTGTGTTTCCCTTACCTATTCTGAGATTTTGTTATTTGGTGTAGTTTTAAATGCCTTCCACATAGGAAACTGACTCCTTTGGGGAACTTATTTTATAACTTAACTAGATTTCTGAAATCTAGTTATTACAGAAAAGAAAAGCTTTTTTAATCTTTTTCTGTATTTTTTTTTAATTTCCTTTTTTTGAATTGTTTCTGATTAGTGGTCAAAATGCTAAATAAGGCAAAAGCCTTTTATGAAAAACCTTTCAGAGGTTTTACATTGTCAGCTTAAAATGCATAGCTCTTGAAAGTAGAATGAATTAAGAAATGTTGATTTTTATAATACATTGCCCACCTTTCATCTATTAAAGAGGTAATCAACACATTTTCAATGATTTAGTCATTTAGTAGTAGCAATCAATGATAAATATAAATGTGTCACAGGTTTGTGATTTTGTAAAAGCTCTAGGACTATCTCTTATGGTTTACATATTCTGCGGACTTCTTTACTTGAAGGTTTGCTGGGTAAGATTTGAAAAAAGAATTATAGCCGCACACTCAAGTGCTTACAGTTAGGGCTGTGTCAGCGTTTCCGTAAAGAATCTCATTTCTATCTTAGCCATAAGCATTATTGCTGGTCAGAAGTTGGCATTTAATATCTTGATTTGGGAGTCAGTTATTTTAAAGCTGCTTTAAAAAATTGATCCAAATGATTTTGAGCTCTCATCTATGTGAGGCTACTCTCTAGGTATCATTATAGTATGAAAGATGATGATTTAACAAACTAATTTCTATGTTATTTTTGCACAGTGATTATAATTTAAATCGTAATATGTTTAAATTATTTTAAATACTCCTTTCTCGATTAACCTTTTTATTACACGTTGTATGATTTTGTAACACTGTTTTATCATGAATGTTTCTAATTGTGCCAAATTCAGTGCCCTAGTCAGTGTTTTTGAGTCTTTATAGTTAACAGTCTATTTGAACTTTTTTATTACTTGTGATATGACCGATGGTGTTGATGACCACTCCATTCTTTAGTTCATCACTTTGCTCAAAAAAAAAGGATCTCAAGCAATTTACAGCATAAGTTTTCATTTTATAGAAAGAATTCTAATATATGATTGATTGAAAACTCCCATTTTATATTATTTTTAGTTCATGTAAATCTAGATAAAAATCTTGAAATAACTGGTCGGTTATGCTTTAAGATTAATATATAATAAGGAATTCTCTTTCTTTA